TTTGAGAAGTGTATATTTTAATTAGAGTCCAGTTACTACCAGGAAATCGCCCTGAGAATCGGATTTACCAGCGGTAACAGAGAAGTGATAGCTTTAAGTTTATTTGCATTTTATTTTTATTTTTATTTTTTTGAGACGGAGTCTTGCTCTGTCGCCCGGGCTGGAGTGCAGTGGCCGGATCTCGGCTCACTGCAAGCTCCGCCTCCCGGGTTCACGCCATTCTCCTGCCTCAGCCTCCCGTGTAGCTGGGACTACAGGCACCCGCCACCTCGCCCGGCTAGTTTTTTTTGTATTTTTAGTAGAGACGGGGTTTCACCGTGTTAGCCAGGATGGTCTTGATCTCCTGACCTCGTGATCCGCCCGTCTCGGCCTCCCAAAGTGCTGGGATTACAGGCTTGAGCCACCACGGCCGGCTATTTGCATTTTAAAAGAGGGTACTTGTTAACCTCAAATGAATACATCTTTAACAACAGAATATCAAGTAGTGGTCAAAATGAAACAAAGAATTTCAATGTGGAAGAATATATTTTTAAAGTTCTATACTTCCTCTACTCCTTTTATCATATCTCAGAAGCAGCCATCTAATGAATCTAAAAGAGCTACTATTTACTGAGTGCTGTCTATAAGCCGTTCCTTTTATTCATCATTACTGTTAATCCCATAGACATGCTGTAAAGAAGGTCTAAAATAATATTTTCCTTCTCCATATTATTCGTGATTTTCTTTTTTATTTTTCTTTATTTATTATTTCTTTTTTTTTCTGAGACATGGTCTTGCTCTGTCACCCAGGTGGAGTGCACTGGCAGTGAAATCATAGCCCACTGCAGCCTCAAACTCCCTGGCCCAAGTGATCCTCCTGCCTCAGCATTCTGCGTAACTAGGACTACTGGCGTGTACCACCACACCTGACTTTTTTTTTTTGTAGATACAGGGTCTCACTATATTGCCCAGGCTAATCTCTAACTTCTGGCCTCAAGCAATCCTCCTAGCTCGGCTTCCCAAAGTACTGGGATTATAGGCATGAGCCACCTCACCAGGCCTACTTGTGATTTTAGAGACTGGATGTGACAGATGCATTTCCTGTGGACATGAGCAATATCGTTTCAAATATTGTCTTGAGCAAGATTATGATGACTGGGTTACCCTTATAAGAAAAGAATCGAATCAGCCGAGGGCAGTGGCTCACGCCTGTAATTCCACCACTTTGGGAGGCCAAGGCGAGCAGATCATGCGGTCAAGAGATTCAGACCATCCTGGCCAACATGGTGAAACCCCATGTCTACTAAAAATACAGAAAAATTAGCCGGGTGTGGTGGCACACACCTGTAATCCCAGCTACTCAGAGGCTGAGGCAGGAGAATCGCTTGAACCCTGGAGATGGAGGTTTCAGTGAGCCAAGATCGCGCCACTGCACTACAGTCTTGAGTGACAGAGCAAGAGACTCTGTCTCAAAAAAAAAAAAAAAAAAAAAAAAATAGGCCAGGCGTGGTGGCTCACACTAGTAATCCCAGCACTTTGGGAGGCCACGACCCGGGCGGTGGGGGGGTTTCACAAGGTTAGGAGTTCAAGACCAGCCTGAAAACACAGTGAAACCCCATCTCTACTAAAAATACAAAAATTAAGGCCGGGCACGGTGGCTCACACCTATAATCGTAATCCCAGCACTTTGGGAGGCCGAGGTGGTGGGACCATTTGAGGTCAGGAGTTTGAGACAAGCCTGGCCAACATGGTGAAACCCCCTCTCTACTAAAAATACAAAAATTAGCCAGGCACAGTGGCGGGCGACTGTAAACCCAGCTACTCAGGAGGCTGAGGCTGGATAATTGCTTGAATCCGGGAGGTGGAGGTTGCAGTGAGCCGAGATCTCACCACTGCACTCCAGCCTGGGTGACAGAGCAAGACTCAGTCTCAGGAAACAAAAAAATTAGCTGGGCATGGTGGTGGGCGCCTGTAATCCCAGCTACTCGGGAGACCGAGGCTGGATAATTACTTGAACCCGGGAGGTGGAGGTTGCAGTGAGCCACTATCATGCCACTGCACTCCAGCCTAGGTGACAGTTAGACTCTGTCTCAAAAAATAATAATAAATAAAATAAAATAAAAATAAACCAGATGTGGTGGCTCACGCCCGTAATCCTAACACTTTGGGAGGCTGAGGCAGCTGGATTGCCTGAACTCAGGAGTTCGAGACCAGCCTGGGCAGCATGGTGAAACCCCCGTCTGTACTAAAATACAAAAAAATAAGCTGTACGTGGTAGCGTGCGCTTGTAATCCCAGTTACTTGGGAGGCTGAGGCCGGAGAATTGCATGAACCCGGGAGGGGGAGGTTGCAGTGAGCCTAGATCTTGCCATTGCACTCCAGCCTGGGCGACAGTGCAAGACTCTGCCTCAGGAAAAACAAAAAGAAAAACAAAAAACAACCCACTCATTAATAGTAGCTACTTATCATTACAACTAATTTTCTCATCATTATCATCATTCAAAAACAGTACACTACAGGAGGAAGTGAGTCGATGCTTCTCATTTGCTTCTTCATAGAAACCCAGCCCAAATGTTTCAGGAAGAATTGCTGTCTTTGTGTCCAGAGTTGGTTCCTTCCGGTGGGTTCGTGGCCTCCCTGAGGTAAAGAATGAAGCCGCGGACCTTCACAGTGTTAAAAACAGCTCTTAAGCTGGCAGGGACCCAAAGAGTGAGCAGCACCAAGATTTATTGTGAAAAGCAAAAGAACGCGAAAGAACAAAGCTTCCACAGCGTGGAAGGGGACCTAACCAGTTGCTATTGCTGGCTGGCGAGAAACTGGGGCGGGGGCGGGGGCGGGGGCGGGGGCGGGGGGTGTGTGAAGAAGGGCCCAGGTTTTACACCCTTATTTGTCCTCACCCATTTTCCATTTATGTCCTATCAGAGTGCCCTTTTTTCAGTCCTCCCCACGATTGGCTACTTTCAGATTCCTGCTGATTGGTGAATTTTACAGAACGCTGATTGGTGCATTTTACAGAGTGTTGATTGGTGTATTTTACAGAGTGCTGATTGGTGCATTTTACAATCCTCTTGCTAGCTACAGAGGACTGATTGGGAGGTTTTTACGGAGTGCTGATTGGTGTTTTACAATCCTTTTGTAAGACAGAAAAGTTCTCCACGTACTCACTTGAAGCAGGAAGTCCAGCTGGTTTCACCTGTCCTCTTCTCTGTGCTTTCTTGAAGCTCTTTTAACTAAACTCTATTATGATGTTGCTGGGCTGGGTTCTTCCTACATGACAGTTCTCCAGAGCCCTGAACAGTGCCTGCATCAGCAAAACTGTCATAAATGCAAACTCCTGCCCTGAACAGTGCCTGCATCAGCAAAACTGTTTTATAAAAGCAAACTGCTGCCTTTTGGGGTAGAGTGCAATAGAGTTTCCCTCTTCCTCCTGATTAGAAGGATACTTTAAAATTTAAAAAAAAAAAAAAAAACTTTAGTTATATTGTGGCTTAAAAACATGGTTTTTTCCTAATTGTGTGTTTCATTGGGATGATTGAGTGAAAGGTGCTGACGGAGATTAATGACACTGAAAAAGGTGGGCACAAATGACAATGAAAAAGGGGACATTTTTGTGGTGCAGCCAATAAAAAGGGGGAAATTTAGGAAGCTATGAGAGGCCTACGGGGGGACCTAACCTACTCTAGGGAATCAGGGAAGACCGGGAAGGGGAAATAATCTTAACACTGAGCAGGATTTTTTTTTTTTTTAAGACAGAGTTTCACTCTTGTTATCCGAGGTTGGAGTGCAATGGTGCGATCTCGGTTCACTACAACTTCTGCCTCCTGGGTTCAAGCGATTCTCCTCCCTCAGCCTCCCGAGTAGCTGGGACTACAGGTGCCTGCCACGATGCCCAGCTAATTTTTGTGTTTTAGTAGAGATGGGGTTTCACCATGTTGGCCAGGTTGGTCTTGAACCCCTCACCTCAGGTGATCCACCCACCTCCGCCTCCCAAAGTGTTGGGATTATAGGCTTGAGCCACCGTACCGGCCTAAGTAGGAATTTTACAGAGATTTGAGGAGGTAGAGATTTGAGGACTAAGAAATCATTGGAAATTTGAGGCAGCGGAGATATGATAAAGTTCTGGTGAAGAATCTGAAATTCAAAAATTTTGAGGATGTGAATTACAGAACTGTCCAGAAGTGGTTGATTTTTGGGGGCCAAGCATCAAAGGGGCTTGCTTATGAAAATCTTATGTTCTAATTTTCTTTTCTTTTTTTTTTTTTTTTTTGAGATAGAGTCTCGTTCCATCGCCCAGGTTGGAGTGCAGTGGCTGGATCTCGGCTCACTGCAACCTCCGCCTCCCAAGTTCAAGCAATTCTCCTGTCTCAGCCTCCTGAGTAGCTGGCACTACAGGCGCCTGCCACCAGGCCCGGCTAATTTTTGTATTTTTAGTAGAGACAGGGTTTCACCTTGTTGGTAAGGCTGGTCTTGAACTCCTGACCTCAGGTGATCCACCCGCCTCGGTCTCCCAAAGTGTTGGGATGACGGGCGTGAGCCACCGTCCCTGGCCCATGTGTTCTAATTTTCTAGGTTACAACGCTCTACGCTGCAGTCGCTCCACCGTTACAGTTTAAAAACTAGAAATCCCTACCACCCTCGCCTACTGTGCGTGCGCGGCGCACTGCGCTTCGGGCCTTGTAGTCTTGGACAGACCCCCGAGGCCCATGGTGCCGTGCGGCGGGTCGTCGCGCCTGCGCGATGCAGGCGGCGGGCAGCGCAGAGTGCGAGGCTCTTTTGTTCGGCTGAGGGGAGGGCCGTTGGCTGGGGCCTGCGGTACGCCGCTTCAGTGAGGGGCTCCACTGCGGCCACCCGGCTTGCTGCCTTCCTGGGCGCCACTCCCCCAGGCGACCCGACGCGACGCGCCAGTAGCGCAGCACCGATTCCTCTCGGGCTCTTGGGCGCTGCTCTGAGGTGAGGAGCCCGCTGGAGGCGGGAGAGCTGGGGGAGGGGGCGCGGCGGCGGCGGCGGGAGCCCTGCGTTAGGGGCCGCGCTTTCTAGGCGGAGGTTAGGAGCGGGGAGCGCGCCCGGGTCCAGCGTCCTGCTTCTCCGCTTCCCGCGCTGAGCTCTCCGCCTGGCGCTGAGGCGTCCGTGCCAGCTGCGTGAAGGATGGAGAGGGCGGGGTGCGAATCCTGAGCCTGAGACTAAAGCGCTTCGGGGTGGGCCGAGCACTTGGGGCTGCTCTTCGGAGCCCGAGTGGTCTGGGACAGTGTTGCTTGCCTGGGCGGCTGCGGGATAGGGCGGAAGGGGACAGGCTTGAGGCTTGGATAGGCATGAGGAGGGGCTGACGACCGCACGACCCGAGGTTTGTAACTGTTTTCGGAGGACCCTGGGTCCGGCCGGGACTGCCAGAGGAACCCGGCTTTGCAGGACTACGGAGGAGTAACTTCGAGTGAATTGGAAGAGGGCTCTGGGCCGCACAAGGTGTGCTGATTGGAGGAGGAGATGTGTGGAATAATTTGGGAAAGGGGGCACGGAGGGGGAGGGGCAGGCGTTTGCTGGGCCTGGCTCTGGAAGGGGAGGAGCTGTTAAGATAAGTAGGGCGGAGATCCCGAGAATATTTCTGTAAGGTGTGTAAGAATAAAGGGGAAAGGAGGCTTCCCTTGCTTCCTGATGGGTCCTTACAGTGGGGAGGCTGTAAGGATAATTGTGAAGAAAGGATTGAATACGCCTTTTTTACTTTTCCAGGTTTCCTACTACCTTCACTCCATGATTCCTTTGGGGAGTTAAAAATGTCCAAGTGCAGCTCTTGCTTTGATTCAAAATTAGTTCCATACGTTTTTGTCTGGGATCGTAACTGGTCTCACAAAGTTGAAATTGTAAAAATGCGTAGATGAGTTAATAGTTAAGGAACGGAGTGAGGTAGTGAGAGATTGTTAGATCGTGTGCGGTGCGAGAAATTGGGAGACACAGGAAAAGTAAGTATGTGAGATTGTGAGGTAATAATTTGTTTCGTGGGCCCTTCTGTTTTTAGCCAACTTTTCCTTATTGGAAAATTTGAATACAGAGTGAGCAATATTTTACCTCTTTTTTTTTTTTTCTTTTTTTTTTTTTGAGAAGCGTCTCCCTCTGTCGCCAGGCTGGAGTGCAGTGGCACGATCTTGGCTCACTGCAACCTCCACCTCCCCGGGTTCATGCGATTCTCTTGCCTCAGCCTCCCCACCAGTTGGGATTACAGGCACGCGCCACCACGCCCGGCTAATTTTTGTATTTTTAGTAGAGATGGGCTTTCACCATATTGGTCACGCTGGTCTCAAACTCCTGATTTCGTGATCCTCCCGCCTCGGCCTCCCATAGTGCTGGGATTATAGGCGTGAGCCACCGCGCCCGGCCGTATTTTACCTCTTTTTCAAAGTTTCAAGTGAGGGTTTTTCATAAATTGGTGTTACATTTAGACGTGTTGGTTTAACGCTATTGAGGTGGAATTTACAAAAAGTTCAGCTATAATCAGTTATACTAGAACCTGTAGCCCAGGGTGCAGTAGCCTCCTCAATTGTGTTAAGAATCACATTAGCAGTTTGGAAAGATTGTGAAAGGTCCAAGGTTTTGGAATAGATTCAGGAATACAATGGGGAAATTAATGCCGGTGTTCCTCCCTAGGTGCCTTGTGGACTTTTATATGAAAGTGGTGTGATTGAAAAGCACTTGTATTGAAACTGGTGGCACCTTAACGAAGCTTCAGGGGAGTGGAGGACCTGAAGTCATTTACGGTTTTCCCTGTGGTGATATTTTTCTTCAGTGGCTGCTGTATCCTAAATTGTTTTACATTAAAAATATAAATAGTAGGGCCAGGCGCAGTGGCTCAAGCCTGTCATCCCAGCAGTTTGGGAGTCCGAGGCGGGCGGATCACCTGAGGTCAGGAGTTCCAGACCAGCACGGCCAACATGGTGAAACCCCATCTCTACTGAAAATAGAAAAATTAGCCAGGCGTGGTGGCACACGCCTGTAGTCCCAGCTACTTGGGAGGCTGAGGCAGGAGAATCGCTTGAACCTGGGAGGCAGAGGTTGCCATGAGCCAAGATCGCACTATTGCATTCCAGCCTGGGCAATAAGAGCAAAACTATGTCTTAAAAAAAGAAAAAATGGCCATACCTCTTGTTCATCAATGCATGACACATAGTAGGCCGTTCAGATTGTTGATGAATGAATGATGAATAGGGGGGCTTTGAGATCCATTCTGAGAACTCTGTGTGTTAGCCAAATTAATGTGCATAGTAGTTTGCTTGTCTTGTATCTGTGACATTTGGCAGAGTTAAACTGTTGTCTTTGGCCTGCTTGTCTTAGCCTGTTAGTTTCTTTTCTTTTTTTTTTAGACAGGGTCTCACTCTGTTGCCAGGCTGGAGTGCAGTGGTGGCATCATGGTTCACTGAAGCCTCGACCTCCTGGACACAAGCAATCTTCCCACCACAGCCTGTTGAGTAGCTCGGACTACAGTCTCATGCCACCATGCATGGCTTCTTTTTTGTAGGGACAGTCTCTGTTGCCCAGAATGGTTAGCTTCAGTTTTGTACTCACTCTGGTACTAAATATAGAAAAGGTATACAGGCTGTGCAACTAGCCATTTTAAGTACCTCAGGCCTCAGATTCTGGGTTTCATCAACAAGCAAAATAGCTTGAATATATCTGTTTTAAAAGAATCTTGAAAAATCTTCTGTGTCCTTTGAATTGATCTGAATAATTATCAGTAGCGATATCTGTTGAAAAATTGAATAGCCTTCCCAAGGTTATTTGGAAAAGTTACTCAAATATGGACGAAATTTAGATCCTGTCAGTATTTGCATAGAATAACTTGTATTCAATCTTTCCTGCCTTTAGCATTTATACTTTGATGACCAGAAGGGGGCGACCTAATTTGTCTGTGAAATTGTGCCTTTTAAAATAATAGTTGACACTTTGAGGACCTAACAGAACTATGGTATTAATTTTTTTTTTTTTGAGACGGAGTCTCACTCTGTCGCCAAGGCTGGAGTGCAGTGGCGCAATCTCAGCTCACTGCAACCTCCACCTCCCAGGTTCAAGCGATCCTCCTGCTTCAGCCTCTGGAGTAACTGGGGCAACCGGGGCCCCCCACAACGCTTGGCTAATTTTTGTATTTTTAGTAGAGATGGTGTCTTGCCATGTTGGCCAGACTGGTCTTGAACTCCTGACCTCGGGTGATCCACCCTCCTCGGCCACCCAAAGTTTTGGGATTACAGGTGTGAGCTACCGCGACCAGCCTATAGTATTAATTTTTAACTGACAAGAATGGTGTATCCTTATGTGGTACAATGTGGTGGGGTTTTTTTTTTTGAGACGGAGTTTTGCTCTTGTTGCCCAGGCTGGAGTGCAGTGGTGCAATCTCAGCTTACTGCAACCTCCGCCTCCTAAGTTCAAGTGATTCTCCTGCCTCAGGCCTCCTAAGTAGCTGGAATTACAGGCACTTGCCACTACGCCTGGCTAATTTTTTGTATTTTTTAAGTAGAGATGGGGTTTCATCATATTGGCCAGGTGGTTGGTCTTGAACTCCTGACCTCAGGTGATCCACCTGCCTTGGCCTCCCAAAGTGTAGGGATTACAGGTATGAGCCACGTGCCCAGCCTGTGGTGGGTTTTGTTTATTTTTTATTTTATTTTTCTCATATAAATAGAGGCAGGGACTCGCTATGTTGCCCAGGCTAGTTTCAAACTCCTGGCCTCAAGTAATTTTCCCACCTCGCCCTCTCAAAGTACTGGAATTATAGACATGAGCCACGGCACCTGGCCCACTGTGATGGTTTTTTTTCTTTTCTTTTCTTTTTTTTAGACAAGTCTTGCTCTGTCACCCAGGCTGGAGTGCAGTGGTGTGATCTCGGCTCACTGCAGCCTCCAACTCCCGGGTTCGAGTGATTGTCCTGCCTCAGCCTCCCGAGTAGCTAGGAATACAGGCGCACACCACCATGCCCAGCTAACTTTTTTTTGTATTTTTAGTTGAGATGAGGTCTCACCATATTGGCCAGGCTGATCTTGAAATCCTGACCTCAAGTGATCCACCCACCTCAGCCTCTCAAAGTGCTGGGATTGCAGGTGTGAGCCACCATGCCTGGCCACTGTGGTGTTTTGATACATGTTTCCAATGTAGTCATGATTCTGGTCTAGCTTTGTAACCACTTTTATTTTATCTTAAATTAACCTTTGAAAGATTGCTTGAGGTATCACTGTGTCCATACTAACATTTGCAGACTCTTGTGGTCTCTCAAACCAAAAATCTATGGTAAAATATCCATGTCAACATACTCAAAGGGGTTTTCCAAGTTTCAGAACACATCTCAGATAAAATTCAAAATGTATTCGCACACCAGTATTCTAGCCTTAGATCCTCTGGAATTCAAGGGCTGGCGTTCCTTTAAAAATGAAACTCCTGACCGGGCGTGATGGCTCGCTCCTATAATATCAGCCCTATGGGGGGCCGAGGTGGGTGGATCACCTGAGGTCGGAGTTCGAGACCAGCCTTACCAACATGGATAAACTCCATCTCTACTAAAAATACACAATTAGCTGGGCATGGTGGCGCATGCCTGTAATCCCAGTGACTCAGGAGGCGGAAGCAGGAGAATTGCTTGAACCTGGGAGGCGGAGGTTGCAGGGAGCTGAGATTGTACCACTGTACTCCAGCCTGGGTGAAAGAGCAAGACTCCAAAAAAAAGAAACTGCTAACTGTGTGTGTGGCATAAGTTCTTGTTTTCTGCTCAAGTTTTCCATCTGGAAAGCATTTGCTTCACAAACAACCACAGCTTACAGACTAAAAGCAGTTTAGAAACAAGACTACCACCTGAATATACTACACATGCCTTCACCTGCCTTTTGATGATTGGTATGTAGTTGGTGATTCTTTCAACAAAAGGTACTTCTTCCTTGTTTTCACTTTAGGGTGTATGGATCAGATTTATCTTGCTGCTTATTCCCTTAATAACTTATAGCTTTGCACTTCTATTCCCTGATGCTTCTGAGACATTCATCCTTTTTTTTTTTTTTTTTTTTTTTTGAGATGGAGTTTTTGTTCTTGTTGCCCAGGCTGGAGTGCAATGGTGCAATCTCGGCTCACCGCAACCTCAACCTTCTGGGTTCAAGCGATTTTCCTGCCTCAGTCTCCCAAGTAGCTGGGATTACAGGCATATGCACCACCATGCCTGGCTAATTTTGTATTTTTGGTAGAGACGGGGTTTCTCCATGTTGGTCAGGCTGGTCTCAAAACTCCTGACCTCAGGAGATCCGCCTGCCTCAGCCTCCCAAAGTGCTGGAATTACAGGCATGAGCTACCGCACCCAGCCTGAGACATCCATCTTTATTGCCCATATAGGGTTCAACAACTTGTTCAGGTTCCAGACCTACCTTTAATTGTGTGTGCAAGTAAAAATAGAAACAAAATGCTTTGGGAACCCCAAAGAAAAGAGAAATATTATTTAGCTA